ACCTCTCTGCTGGTCGAAACCAGCCAGGAGGGACACGGGTCCAGTAACCATGTGGAGGAACTCACAGCTCCCATGGCCTTGTCCACTTCCTCAGGAGTGACAAGCTGGAACTCGCTCCAAGAAATCCGATTAAAGGTCCACTCTCAGCATCTCAGCAGGTACTGTCCAAGTGGAGTCCAGGTCTGTCCGAATCTAAGCGACTTTGTCTGAAAGAAACTGAACAAATTCCTTGGCTCTTCCCTGCAAGGGTTCACCCGCATCCCTCCCTTTCAGGAGGGAGCAGGTTATCCTAAACAGGGCAGCCGGGTGTGATTCTGAGGACGCAATGAGAGCGGAGAAATGCGAACATTTAGCCGCCCGAATTGCCACTAGATAAGTCATGTGCAAGCAGAAATGCATGGTTTCTTTATGATTTCTTGGGTTATTTCTTGCTTCATTTATGTCCTGGATCTTAAATAGGTTTATATAAGGACAAATCAAGAGAAGCTAAAACAAAGAAAACGTACTGCATTTATACAAATCTGGCCTTCTGTAACTTTGCTCATATCTATAAGATGTATTAGTTTCTCTAAATCTGAACAGGTCATAACTAAAGCAAAGAATAACACAGTCCATTAATGCAAGGATTGAGAAACTAAGACAGAATTCTTCTCCTTAGAATGAAAGGTGGCAGGATTCAATTGTGACTGCATATTGCATTGGGATTTTATGTTTGTGTGAATTTGGCCACTATAGTTTGTAAATATGTTTTTATTTAGCTTATTGTATTATTCAAAAGTATGAATTATTCAATAAATCATATTATTCAAACTATGTCTTATACAATGTATGTCTCATTCTAAGACTGGTTCTGCATCAGTCTACTTTGAAGGAATAAAGTATGCCTGAGGATGGATAATGATCATTCTTTACCAAAACCATCGCCACATAGCCTCATAATCATTCTAAGATTTTATTTGCTTTAATAATGGTTTATAAAATAAGCTGAAATTTATTGGGTTCATACATTATGGTTGATGGTTTATAAACCAATGGCTGAATGTACAAAGTCAATAGGAAACAAATTAATGCAAACCTCATCCATAATATTGTAATCCTAATTGTTTCATGGTTAAAGCTCATTGTGAGTCTTAACATCATAATGTTGAAAGATCTTTGTTCATTATTGAGCTCAGACCGCTGCCTAATTTATAAAGGGAAAGACTCCTTCAGATTTAACTGAACTCCTGATAACCACATGAATGTATCCAAAGCTGGATTTTTTTTGGTCAATAGTATAAAAGTACAGTACTAGGAATAGAAGCACGAAGTACTCTATAGAAGCAGTTATTTATTGCTTTCTTCCAGGATTCTTCCTTCTTTCTTCTTTTTTTATGTTTTTTACTTGTCAGTTTAGTTTACAATATGGAATTTCAGGATGGTATCTCATTTGAATATTGCATGTCAAGCATTGCTTAGTTTTTTTGAGATCAGTCAATATTCACTGGGTGCTAACAGCCTTTGCTTAGTCTAGTAATCCATAACTGGCAAGCCAGTTCTTAGCAAGGAGAACCTATCACTTCCCACGAGAAAGTGAGAGAGGGAGAGAGGAAGGGAGGNCGGGAGCCCGAGCGGAAGCCCACCGAGGGCGACCGGCGGCGGAGGGCCGGGACAGGCGGCGGAAGCTCCGCCGGGCTCCTCGTGCAGGAACTGGCATTCCTCGCCGTAAAAGCACGTCTTGTCCTTGGCGTAGTAGCGGCAGAACTTGAGCTTCAGCCCGCCGGGGGCCGCCACCGCCGCCGGAACTCCCGGCCCGGGGGGCGGCCCTACTACCGCCGCGGCGGGAGCCACCGGAGAGGAGCAGGGGAGGCCGCCACTGTTCATGGCGGCGACGGCTGCTACAGCAGCAGCAGCAGCGAGGCCGCCTCAGAAGGCACCACGGCCGCTGCCGGCCACCGCCGCACCATGGGAGGCAGGCGGGGAGCGGGCGCAGCAGCCGTCCCACGGCCGCCGCTGTCACTGCCGGAGTTCCGGGAACGAGGGAGGACAAGGGAGGGAGGGGGAGGGCGCTGGGGCTTCTCTTAAAGGGGTCAAGCGAGCCCGGCGGGGGAAGAAGAGGCTAAACGAAAGCCGGGGAAAGGGGAGGGGATCGGGGCCTTCCGTCAGGCGCTGAAGGGTCCCGGAGGCAGCGGCAACGGCGGGATTGTTTATTCCATTTTCCTCTTCCTGAGCTGTCTCCTCAATGCGCCTGCGCCACAGCGAGGCCCTCTGGGTAATCTAGGCCCGGAGGAAGCGAAGGGGCTGATGGAGGCCTGGCTCAGCTCCTGGCGGGTGGGGCGGCTGGCAGCCAGGGAGCGGGCGTTTGGTTGCGGCAAGCAAACTCCGTCTACTTTTGGCCTTTCGCGGGCGGGAAAGAAGCGCAGCGGCTTTCCTAAACCCTTTCCTGTGGATATAAACCCTCCACCACACCCCGCACCGTAGTGTATACATGAATATGCCTGGAATACTTGATCGTGGACATATATAGAGTAGAATTACAAATAATAGAAATAGAGGAGAACAGAGTAAAATTCTTTAAGTGTTGTACCTTATGATTCTTGATGAATGTATCTTGTTTTTTTTAATGTACTGTAGGAAGTTANAATATTTATCAGTCTCTCTTTTATTCCATACTTCTGGTTAAAAGACTATTCTAAGTTATGCTAAACAAATGCATTCCCCTTTTTTTAAAGTATTGTCTAGTTTCAGTTCTATGCTAGATAATCCTTTGGGGACTATTTTTATTTATATCTCTTCTCAACCTAGTCTAATATTGGCAACTCCAGCTGCAGTCTTGCATACTGGAAAGAGAGACTAGGGCAGGAATGTATCATCATATTGTGGTGTTTTTTTAAATAAATCACATTAGCTGTTTTCCATTCTTATTTGTCATTCAATTTTTATTTCATTTCTAGATTAATTAATCTACTGATTAATTGTCCTAATAAGAAAATTCTCCTTAGTTCTAGCTTGGTTCTCTCCTTGATTAGTTACTAAAAGTTGGCTTCTTATTTTGGGGCTATATTTCATTAAGAATCTTTGCAATTACCTTCAGCTAAAAAACTAACTTCCCAATACTTTTATATTCCTCTGTATATCATTTTAATTTTGACCATAAAGGTTAATAAAATGCTGGCTGGAAAAGAGACTTGGATGTTTAAAATTGAATTGTTCCTTTATTCATTGTGCTTAGTGTTTGTAGTGACTTTTTTTTTACTCTTAATTTATTATTTGTGTTCTGTACTCACAATGAAGGCTGGCTTATCTTTTATCAAATCTACTGCTTCAACACTGATACTTATATTTCATTCATCCAGGCTGAAACACCATATTATATACATATTCTATCTTATGAAATGGTCACGTTTTCCATTGATTCTGGCTTTGTGCCAGCCAAGGAGACATTTCCAAAATGCTAAATACCACTCCAGTCAGTGGCCAATACACAAAATAGGATTGACATTCGTGGCATCTATAATTAAGTGAGTAACATTAGAAAGAGAGAATGATAGCAATATATAGATAATGGCTGAGTAATCTTCAGCATCTTCAAAAATGATCTAGATGAGCAGATAGAAGTGGAATTCATCAAACTTGCAGATGGCACCAAACTGGGGGGAATAACTAACATTTAGAAGATAGACTCAAGATTCAGAAGCATCTTGTCACTGTGTTCTGGTCACCACAATGCTAAAAAGATATTGAGACCCTAGAAAGAGTGCAGAGAAAAACAAAAAGATAAGGGGTCTAGAACTGTGGTGAAATTCAAAAATTTTCCCTACCGATTCTGTGGGTGTGGCTTGGTGGTCAGGTGACCAGGTGGGGGAGGCTTCATGGTCATGTGACTGGGTGGGCATGGCTGCACAACTGACTCACATACAATCTATAAGCAGCTGGACTTCACACAAAATATCCCCTGCAACAAGCAGGAACCTCACAGAAAATCAGACACAGCTGATTGTCGCATAGCTGATCAGTAATTTAAAAAATGCTTTTTAAAGTTTTTTAAAAACTTCCAACACAGCACAGCTGATTATCGCACAGCTGATCATCGCAACTTAAAAAAAACTTTCTAAAGTGTTTTTTTGCTACCGGTTCAGGTGAACAGGTAATTTAAAAATTCAAAAAAAAAATTTTTTTAAGTTCTCATCAGAACTTTATTGTATTTATTTAAGTTTATTTTTTACTACTGGTTCAGTCAAACCGGCCCGAACCAGTAGCATTTCACCTCTGGTGTGGAAGCTGAACCATATGATGAAAAATTGAGGGAAGTAGGTATGCCTAATTTACCAAAAAGAGGGGTGATATGATAGCAGTGTTTTAGTACTTGTGGGGTTATCACAGGGAAGAGGGAGTTGACCTATCCAAAGCACCTGAGGACTAGACAAGAAGTAGTGGGTGAAAAATAATTAAAGGCAGCTGCAATCTAGAACTTAGGATAAATTTCCTGACATTGAGAACAATTAATCAGTGGAATGGCTTACCTCCCGAAGTCGTGGCTGCTCATCACTGGAGATTTTCAAGAAGAGATCAGATACCCAATTGTCCAGGTCTCGTGCTTGAGCAAGGGTTTTGAGTAGAAGACCTACAAAGTCTCTTCCAATCCTATTATGCTATGTTTTATGTTCTATCTATTTGATTTACTGAGAAATTTACTAATTGAGAGGGACAAATGAATGGGAAAAGGGACAGTGGGTTGAAAAAAAACACCACAATATATTCAGCATGTTTACGTTTTGATTTCATTGTACATTTTTTGTTTTCCTTTTTGGCAGCTCTGATTCTTACAGTGACATCCACTGTTGTGATAAGCCAAACTACATTTGAGATAACTTGCTTTTTAATCAAACAACACAACAATGCTTCAAGAAATTGGAATTCTTCAGCTTCTCTCAAGGTAAAGGAAAATTAGAGTATAAAAATGTTGAATAGGACCAAAGTCCCATCTGTGCCACAGATCACATTATACTGAAGACAGTGTGTCTCTGTTATGGAATATAATATAACATTCTCTACTATTTTTTACAGTGTGAAAGAAGTTTAAGCTCCACTTAAAGCTACTGGTGGGCATTGCAAGGAATGCCTGTAATTAATGAATTGAAATCTTGCATGATTTAATTACAGACAATCCTTCCTGTTTTCATGCATGTTGGACTTACCACCATCCAGTTTCACTAATCCTGGGTTCTAGCATTATGAGCAAAGAATATGTCTTCTTCCTCTCCACTTTCTCCATAGAGTACATATCTTCCTCACCCACTCAGTCAATTATTCAGTAAGCTAAAGAGTCTCAACTTTCAATTTTTCTTCATTGTGAAGATCATCCAGTCCTTCAATATTGTCATTGCCTGTTTCTTCACCTTTCCCAGATGAAATACAATCCTCAACCTACAACTGAGCCCAAAATTTCCATTACTAAGCAAGGCAGTTGTTAAATAAGTTTTGCCCCATTTTACAACCTTTTTTCCCACAGTTGCTAAGCAAATCACTGCAGCTCTCCCATTGACTTTGCTTGTCAGAAGCCTGCTGGGAAGGTTACAAATGGTATCACATGACCCCAGGACAGTGCAATGGGGCCATGATATGACAGTGTCATAAATACATACCAGTTGCCAAGCACCTGAATTTTGATCCTGTGACCACGGGAATACTATAATGGTCATAAATAGGCAATAAGTCACTTTTTTAATGCCACTGTAACTTCAAACAGCCACTAAACAAATAGTTGTAAATCAAGTTGTAATCAGAATTTGTTTGCATTGTTCCATTGGATGTGGACTCTACCCTCCTGAGGCTTGGGTAGATAAATGCTGTTTTAAAATGTCTTGGGTGACATCTTCTTCTGTCACCAGCTTTTCTCTGTGTCTTCTGGCTTCCAAACCCACCAAAGCAATTTTAATTCCACAAATACCAGCTCCATACAAAGACCATTTGCCACCAGTAGATTCTGTTCCATCTGCTGGCCTTTCTGGCTGGCTGGCACATGGCTTTGACCCAGAAGATGTTGAGACAAACGATTAATGGGTTGCCACCCAGAGAGGCAATTGCCACCGTGCTAACTCTTGATTCTTAACCAATGACTCTCCTCTCATGGTAATTGGTGTAATGAACAAATGTTCAAATTGTCAGGCTTTACAACCTGGGTTTGGGAGTGAATCAGAGGTGGGTTGCTGCAGGTTCAGCCTGGATCGCCTGAACTGGTAGTCGCGGCAGCGGGAGGCTCCTCCCACCTGCCTGGATGCTTCTGCACATGTGCAAAAGCTTCTGCGCATGCACATAAGTGTCGCACAGCAGTGCGCGCAGAAGCACACCTGAACTAGTAGTAAAAAGATTAGCAACTCATCTCTGGAGTGAATCCTAGGCTTCCTGATCTTTCACGACTTACTCTGCAGTTTGATTTGGCTAAAAACTTTTGGGCAAGGCTCAGTTAGATTTGAATCTTTACTACAGACAAGGATCAAGTCATACACAATAGTTGATTGCCCATTGCTAATGCAAAAGTTTCAGAAATATGTACACACTCAAGATTTTAACCATTGCCTTCCCTTCCAAGTGAATTGATACTTGGTGGGATGTTTGGTAGCTTTGAAGCCAGAAGAGTTGTACATTTACATAAGGACCATCTATGCTATGGCTTGAGATCTACTAATCCTTACCTCATCTCTTTCAAAAGACTTATTTCTTTGCTAACTTATAAATAATGTTTTTGCATTTTCCCTTATAAGAGCCTTTCACTGCTCTTTTTCTGTGAATGTGAGCTCAAACAATGATGGATGTTGCTACTACCTGTCAAAGTATTATAAAACTGGATGTCAAGGTTTTATTTTATTTTTATAATAAGGGATTTCATTCTTCTCCAGGTCTTTAATTCTGTGAGCCTGAACTGGTTTTATAATCAGGCAGCTGTCTGGAGTGCTGACCTGTGAAGTATAAGCGTAGTTTATGAGGTCCCATCATAAGCTACGCATTCAATTATTTTTTCAACAATTGAAACAAGTCCCAAAAATAGTTCATCTTAACTGTAAAGCTAACATTTTTTCATCTTTTCTCCACTGACAGCTGTTCTGTTTCCATACTCTCTTGTGGTCTTCTGAGCAATCTTCATCTTCCCTTTTTCAAACATGTGGTATTCCACTGTTAATACTTATTGCCTCCTTTTGTTTCCTGATTTCCATGTACTATGCTTAAAATTTTGAAGTGAGGTTTTTGGCTACATGTGCGAACCTTCAAGTCACTGTTGACTGTGGCTGCTAAACAACTTAAACAATGCCATTTTCTTGGCAAAGTTTTGAAAGAGGTTTCCTGAAGCCACTTCCCCAACCTGGCTTCAGGACTAAAATTCACCATCTACTGTTTTTTTTAAAAGGTGCCTTAATCACTCCAGCAAACTGTCTCTCTATATTGTCTAAACCACTTTCTACTTGTGATATTATCCAGGGGTGAAATGCTACCAGTTTGAACTGGTTCACCTGAACTGGTAGTAAAAAATGCTACCGGTTCACTTGAACCGATAGTAATAAAAAAAAGTTACTGGTTTGGATGAACTGGTATTTCCGACTTATCAGGTGTGATGCGCGATTTATATTAGCTAGACTCATCGGATTTCCTGCTTTCTAGCTAATCTAAATTGCGTGCCACAGTGGATTCCTCCCTGCCCTCCAGTTTCAAAATGTTCTTTTTTAGCATTCCGCAAAGTGTTCACTCGGTAGCAGACTTACCAAACCGGTAGCAGACTTTGGAGGATTTCACCGCTGATATCATCCCCTCATAATATATTTTTTCATGCCTCTGAGGAATATCCCCAACTTATTCTCTCCGAGCACTCCAAAGATGCTTTATTCCTAAAGGCAGTGGTTCCCAAACTTGGCAATTTTAAGACTTGTGGACTTCTGGGAGTTGAAGTCCACAAGTCTTAAAGTTGTCAAGTTTGGGAACCTCTGCCTAAAGGCAACTCGTTTTTTTTCTTTTTATATATATTTTCTTTTTTAGAAAATGTTTAGCTTTTTGGATGAGCAACGAAATATTTTCTAAGGAAAAAAAACCCCAAGAAAGTCCAGTTGCCTTTTGGAAAAAGCACCTTTGGGAGTCTCTCCATTCGGTACCTTAGCTATGGTCTAAAATGGATAAATATTTGTGAGAACAAAAGTGCCGTTTGACTTCATCCTCCCTAAATTTATGTTCTTTTCCTCTTGTTTACTGAAAATAAAGCCGCATGGTCTACTTAGTCACAGTAGTTCAGGAAATCATAAATCTTATATCTTAAAATTTATGCTATATTAAGATTTTCTCTCCCTCCTCAAACTCTTTAGTTTGTGCAAAAGACTTTGCTTCTTTTCCATGCCAAAATAGAAATTATAACTTCCTTTTTTTTCTTTCCACATTTCTGTCATATTTCAGGTGTTTCTTTTCCTAAACTCTTTCAGTCTTTTGTTCTTTCTTGCTGTCATACTTTGCTAACTATCTATCCTAATGCCCTGACTTGGCTCTTCTATATATCTCCCTTTTCCGTATTGCCATTTTCTTCATCATTATCTCTGATATCTACTGTGTAATCAGTATTTTTGGTCACTCTAGACTCTTTGTTCATATTAATAGTAGGTTTAGTAGCATATTTATATCATGTAGTCAAAGACATATCATTGCAAGGCACTACTGCATATTAAGACATATCAATGAGGAATCTGATTTAACTTTGGTATGCCCAACCCTTTTCTTAGTGGGTACCATAAATGGCTTTGACTGACACTTTGTCAGCTATGCTTCCAAGATGAATAGAATTCAAGCAAAATCAAAATTTTACTTACTTTAATTAAAATGTAAATTAGAACACTCCTATGCATGTAATGTGATTACTGTTCCCTATTTATTTAATATTGTCCTTTTTCTGTCACATTATAAATTACAATTTAGTGACAAATTTTCATGAAGCTTTGAGAACAGGGATATGCAGTCAGGGGAGGCAGAGCCTCACCACTGTCATCATGAAAAGAAAAAAAATGTAAAAGGAAAAAGGCAAGAG